GAATGGGTAGGCCCGGAAGCCTATGACCTCCCGTGGCAAGTTCGTCTGCAAAGAGGCATAGAGACTAGAGGGTATGACTTTTCGGGTCGGATCGAGGCCCATTGGGTCGGCCTCTATTTCTGGTGTGTAGGCTCAGGTCCCCCCAACCTGGGTTGCCCTCATCAAAACAAGGCAAAACCATATCTTTTTCTCACAGAGAACAACACCCTTTATGTAGAGCAACACATACCACAAGTCTACTATTCCAAACAAAATGAAAAAAGTGCACAAAAACTACACGAGTTTGTTTTGAATTTAGATGCAAAAAAAAAAAAAATTATGTTTTCCAAACAGTGCCCTCTAAGTAGACCAAATACCACAATTTAAAAAAAAAAAATGACAAAAGTGCACTAAGAAAGGGTAAACTACGCGAGTTAAAAACGGATTCAATTTTACTGAAGATCTCTTTCTCTTGGAAGCGGCATACCCAGAGCCTCTACCTCCTTTTCGTGTCGGATCGAGTCCCATCGGGTCGACCTCTGTTTCTGGTGTGTAGGCTCAGGTCCCCCCAACCTGGGTTGCCCGCTCGTAGAAGACGACGGTGCGGCCTTCTTTGCGAAGTTCCATGGCGGCAGAGAGGCCAGCGACGCCGGCACCGATGACGGCGGCGGTTCCTGAAACAAGATGAGAGGAGAGAGAGGTCGACGACAAAAAAATAAAAAATAAAAAATAAAAAGTTGAAGAAGATATGTGTAGAACAATTTGAAGAAGAAAGAACAATTTAATTCAAAAAACAAATTTGTAGGATTGGAATAGTGCAACATATTTTTAGGTTATTGATAAAATTGTTTTGAATTTGTAGGATTGTTATATAAATTAGATAATAATGTGGGGGCTTGAGAATAAATAAAATAGGTACAAGGGGTACAAAGGGTATAATAGGTTTTAACCAGTACAAGGGGTACAAGACAAGGTACAAGGCTACCAAAATTCTTTTTTGCCTTGTACCTTTAAATCCATCGTTGATGTTCATTTTTGAGTCAATCCAACGGTGAAATAAGGGGATACCTGATGTTAAATAGGTACAACAAGAACCTGACTGTAGAAGATCCCTAGTTTTGTTTGGCATTTAGTTCTTAACTAAATGTGTCAATTAGTTTCACCATCAAATTGTGTTAGTTGTTTTGATCAGCAGACTAGTTAGCGGTTTTTAATATATCTGTTTAGTAAAATTAATTAATTATTATTAATTAGTTATTAACATGTAAAATTACTTATCATGACACCAATATACTTTGATATTATTATTTATGTTGAACCTATAATTAGATAGAAAACTCAAATTATATTTATTTTGAATATTCGGTAAAGTGATTTCAAGTATAACATTTATTAATCAAGTAAATAAGTTCATGTCAATGAACAAAGCAAATAAAATAAGTCGTCGCTAGTTTAAAAAAGATAAGGTAAAATTGTTCAGATAATATGTCATCACTAGTTAGGAAATAAATGCGAGTTAATTACTTGCAACTTCCGCAATTACAACTGAAAGACAAAAATTAAAA